TCAATATGCTGGTGTTATCTGAAAGGGTAATGTGTAGATTTCATACTAGTAAAATTGAGTAATTCTGAGTGAAGGTTTGAGTTTCGTAGAAAGTGACCACATGACAAGTTATGTCTCGAAGGGTAACGCCAATCAGAAAGGAAGTACTTCCAGCGTATCTATCTCAAGGGAAGGAAAGAAAAAAACAAAAGGCACCACATTGTTCTACCCATGTTGAAATAGCAAAAGATGCTTAATGGATTCTTAGGTATGATACCAAAAGCAGGGAAAAAAAAAAAAAAGATAAAAGCAGAAATTAAAAATCATGTTGTAACAGTACAGACAGATTAGAATTCTTGGGAGATGAATACGTGTTCGAACTTCATAAGCTAAATCTCCGTATTTATCTTGTTCAATTTAAACACTGCCTTATTGTACTACTTGTAGCAATAATTACCTAAGAATCCTGCCCCTGCAATCACATTCCTTAGATCCTACGGAAGGGACACTGCAAAAGAAATCATGCAAATATAAATTTACTGCTTGGATGGCATTTCCTGATAACCCACCATTCTTGAGATGTCTTCTAGGCCACTCTCCGTGGTGTTAACCAGTTTTGGAGCCTGTGCATCCCTGCCCTCCTTTACTGCCTGATGAACTCACGTGGCTGATCCAAGACAAGACCAAGACTCAAACCAAGAGTAAACAGAACACCCTTGCACAGAATAAATATCGGCATCCATGCTAGAACACAGTCTCCAGCTTAGAAGAGACTGCATCCAATTAGCCCGAAGGAAGTTCAGGTTTATCTTAGGAATTTATCACAGCCTTGTTCTGCTTCCTGACTTTCACAAAAGGATCAGGATTTTATGAAGACCCGCCTGCATAAGGTGTTTTGCAACCATGCACCCCACGGCATTACTACTACTGTAAAAACCCCTAGCTTGTAAGGCTCTGGGAGACACACAGGGCAGTTGGCTCTGGCCCCAGGTGACTCCACTTTGCAAGGTTACTATCCTGTTATTAAATTTCTTCCTGAGCTACAGCTGACTTTGTAGCCAGGGAACTCAGCCTGAGTATCAAAACACTTGGCCAAACAAGTGAAGGGGCAAAACCTACAGAAAGAGAAAAAAAACATAATGAAACCTGGGAAAGCCGGGCAGAAAACGTAAGCAGACATTTCAGCGAAAAAGCCATATAAATGGTCAGTACACACGAGGAAAAATGGTGAAGACCACCAGTCAGGAGGAAAATGCAAATAAAACCACACGAGATACCCCTTCAACCGCACGAGGATGGCCACCGTCAGAAACACCGAAAACAAGAACTGAGGAGAATGTGAACTGCTAGTGAAACTGGAAAACGGCGCAGCCTCTGTGGACACTTGTGGCGGTTATTTAAAAGAGAAAACACAATTACCTCACGAAGCAGGCAGATGAAGCCCGACGCTGTGAATGAGGCCGGACTGCAGAAAGAAAACAAAACTCGGGCGAGCTGGTGTACGGACCGGAGGGGGCGTACAGAGCGTTTAGACTCAAGCGAACGGCCCCCGGAGTCCACGCGCCCCCAAGTCCGCATTTCTCACCAACTCCCAGGGGACTGAGGCGCTACGGGGCTAAAAAATCTCACGGTTACTCAGCAAGGACTCCCTCGACGGTACCTGTTCCTGCACCAAGAGACGCGGTTTCGTCCCCACTGCTCGGCGTCCAGGAAGCGGCGGCGGCCCCAGGCCCGGATCGCGCAGGAAGTGGCGGCGGCGGCGCCTGGCGACAGCAGGTGCCGAGGCTCCGGGAGGCGGAGAGACCGAGGGGGCGCGGGAGACGCCTGGCCCGGAGCCTGCGGGGCTCCATCCAGGGGAGCAGGCCGACTGGAAGCTGAGGAGAAAATTTTCCCGCTGGAGCATTCGCGGGAACCGCCAGGGGGCTGGCCAGATTGAAAACGCACACTTCCTCTTCCGGTTTCAGGGATCTGCATACGTAAGAGGTCTACCTAAGGGCAGGAAGACAAAAGGCTGGACAAGGTGACCGTGGCTCTCCCGTTGTGTGCTGCTGGACACATTTAAAAAACAAAACAAACTCGCTGCCCTCCAGTAATTACTTCAATACGTGTGTGAACTTGAAGTAGATGAAAAATTGTTCATAGATGAAAAACTGTTGTTGTGCCCAGAGAATGAATCCCCAAAGACCACCGAGGAGCTGATTCCACTCAAAAACATGTTGTTGTTGTTGTTATTTGCCGTGGAGTCGCCCCGACTCATAGCGACCTCCCCTTGGGTTTCCGAGGCAGTATCACTATGGAAGTAGATTGCCCAATCTTCCTTCCAAGGAGTGGCTGGTGGATTTGAACCGCCAGCCTTCTGGTTAGCAGTCAAGTGCCACAGCCACTATGCTACCAGAGCTCCTAGGAGTAAGCATAGGGGTTGTTTATTCAAGCTCCAACTCGGACCCCCAACCTTCACCGACACAGCGATTAAGGATTGAGAGCCCAACTCAGGAACAAGAGGATATTTATAGGGGTTACAGCAGAAATGGGGAATTTCCAGTCAGGAGATTACGGGATTGATTGACATTTTTTAAAGGGCGAGTTGTCCTTTCTTGATTGGTTCTGTCTTGGGGGCTGAGGCCACGTAGTGCCGTTCTTAGCTATTCTAGGCCTACTGGAATTTCAGGTATTTTCCTGCTATCTATTGATTGGTTGTTGCTAGGGAGTATGGATGGGGTGCAGGTGGCCAGGGTTTCTTGTAATTCTAAAGCATGAAGTGAATGCTAAGGCTCACTGTAAAATGGTTTGTTGTTGTTGCTGTTATGTGCCGTGGAGTCGGCCCGACTCATAGCGACCCCTCCTTGGGTTTTCGAGGCAGTATCACTATGGAAATAGGATTGCCCAACCTTCCTTCCGAGGAGCGGCTGGTGGGTTTGAACCACCAGCCGTCTGGTAAGCAGGCAAGTGACTTAGCCACTATGCTACCAGAGCTCCTGTAAAATGGTTATATATATTTAAAATGGCTACACACAGGGTGGTTATTGTTAGGCAGAAGCATGGCTGGCCAGGCGAGTGAATAACTGAGCCGGAGGGAATTACAAGAACTGGTCAAGCAAGGAGGCGCCTGACCAGAGCCCATACCAAACCCCAGGAGGTAGCCCTTGCTTACGAAAGACCCCAGCACCTGACTTACTCATGAAAGCCCCCAACCATTTCCTGCCCCCTATGTTAATGAAGTGCTTCAACTCTGCTTCCTACCCCCCATGCTAATGGGGTACTTTAACCTTATTGGTTCCTGTAACACATACCCTGCTCTCACTCCGGTCCCCTAAGAACCAGGAAGACAATCACTATAAAAATCCCTTCCTTTCACCTGGGCAGCGCGACTTCTCTGGCCCCTCTCAGGGACCCGTGACCCTCTCCCGGGAGCGCAGAATAAAAACTTCTCTTTAACCCCACTTTTGTGCATCCTCTTCTCCTTACTGCGACCTTACAGTTATAAAAAACATAGTCTCACACTGTTAACTCCATTTTGTAACCATTTTCTAACTTAGCAGTTTCTCGCCTCCGTACCGCCTGCTTGCTTCATGATGTGGTTACGCATGAGTTTATCCAACTTAGCAGTTGCTCCTCGCTTCCATAACGCAAGCTTGCTTCAGGTTACTTTTCATGCTGCGGTTTTAAGCTTTATAAGTGTTAGGCAGAAACGTGGCTGGCCAGGCGAGTGAATGATTAAGCCGGAGCGAATTATAAGAACTGGTCAAGCAAGGAGACACCTGGCTGAGCCCATACCAAACCCCAGCATGTAGCCCTTGCTTACGAAAGACCCCAGCACCTGGCTCTGACTCACCAAAGCCCCCAACCATTTCCTGCCCACTATGTTAATGAAATACCCAGGAAGAAAATCACTATAAAAAACCCCCTTCTTTCACCTGGGCAGTGCGACTTCTCTGGCCCCTCTCAGGGACCCGTGAACCTCGCCCGGGAGCGCAGAATAAAAACTTCTCTTTAACCCCACTTTTGTGCATCCTCTTCTCCTTACTGCGACCTTACAATAAGCTTGCCGGAAGCGAGGCTAGGGGCTGCAGTTGAGAACACTTTAGTTCCCTGTAGCCCAGCTAGCTGAAGAAAGACTCTTCCAAATTTGGGACATTATAGTGGTCATCATTTATTTGAACCCGTAACAAACTGAAATGCGGATTTCATTAATCATACCCTTTAGGAGCCCAGAAACCTAGTATTTAAATATTTAACCGTTTTAATTTTTTTTCTTAACCATATTCTTTATTCGGAAGGAAGGTTGGGCAATCTACTTCCATAGTGATACTGCCTCAGAAACCCAAGGAAGGGTCGCTATGAGTCAGGTCCGACTCAAAAGCACTTAACAACAACATTCTTTAAAGAAACTGAAGTAGATGACTCTATTTTGTAATGATTTGTTAAAACTTCATTTTGCAGCAAAGTCCATTTTACAAGCACTGCAGCATAACAGCATTTCTACTGCCCGCTCTTCTCAGAGAGCCCACTCACCCCTTCTTTTTCCTTTTCCTGAAAGCCCTGTTAGTAGTAATTCCCACAATTGAGAGCCCACATCCTGCCAACAGAAATTCTCAGAATTGAGGACCCTCACCCCGGCTGTGTTTCTGCTCTGATAGCGGGCTGACCATTCATCTTCCCTAAACACTAACCTGGCAGTTCATCGCTTCTCTAATAGCTTGCTTGCCTGCTTGCAGTTTTAGGCTTTAGAAGCCTGCCGGAAACCAGGCCCGCAGCTGCAATTGAGAACGCTTTAGTCCCCTGCAGCAGGCTATGGCTGAATGAAGACTCTTCCAAATTCTGGACATTATAGTGGTCATCCATTTCTTCTGAACCCACAACAAAATCAATTATTTCTTCCTCAGGAATATTGCCTTTTTACAGTTGTTGAAGTCTCCTGACTTCTCTTTTGCCGACTGTCCTCTTTTCACATCAGGAATCTTCCCCTGTGAGAGGGGCACAGGCTATGCAAACCCAGTGTCATCTCTCCAAGTGCAGTGCCCCCCGGAGAGAGTAGTTTTCCAGGATGAGAGGCAGGAAGATAACAGGCATTCATTATAAGGGCAAGTAGGTAAATGCTGAAATACTTTTGAAATTTACCATTATAGTTTTTACTTGTTTTCTCTATATACACACAAATATTGAAGGGAATAATGTGTTCTAATATTAAGCATACAAAGCAAATAACTCTGACATTTGGATAGACTCTTGTGCTCTGGTGGCACTGTGATTAAATAATTGGATTGATAACCAAAAAGGCCTCAGTTTGAATCCATCAGCAAAGCTTTCATTGGGAGCTGGCTCAGTTGCTTAGCATGAGACAGAAGATTGACAGCGTGGCCATCTCTACTTTCCAGCCCTCTCCTCCGAAGTAGTGATAATTATGAAAGCAGGTGCTATAAAAAGTTGCATGCAGCTGCTTCTATGGACATATGTTTTGGATAAAAACTTAGGAGTGCTATTGCTGGATCAGAATGGCAGGCCTAGGTTTAGATTGGTAAAAACTTCCAAACTGTCTTCCAAAGTGGCACTGCCATAAAATACTATTAAACTTCCACTTTGGCAAAGACCTGTTAACACCATGTTGGTGATACTGTGGGGAAACATGCACTCCTCCTATGTATTACTCAAAAAACAACGTCTCACTACCATCAAATCGGTTCCAACTCATAGTGACTCTGTTCTGGTTCCTTGGTGCCGCTCTGACAAGATATTACCACAAATGGGGTGGCTGAACAAACAGGAGTTAATTCTCTTACAGTTTGGAGGCTTTAAGTCCGAGTTCAAAGTGCCAGGCTCTAGGGGCTGGGGGAAAGCCTTTGAACCTTGGGGTCCAGCTCTGGCTCTTGCTCCCGGCCACTG